AACCACGATCTAAGGCCTTTCTTTGTGGTTAAGTCTTCCTCTTTGTACTCTGCAATTTTCTTGATAATGTGGGGCTGGAGCTTTATCTTTGAGTTTCCTAAAATTGCTCCAAGAAACTCAATTTCTCTTACTGCTATCTTCATCTTTGTTGGGCTTAAAATCAGTCCATTCTCCTGACATATCTCCAACATTTTAGCAAGATGTTGCCCGTGCTCCCTTTCATTTTCTGAAAAGACCAAAATGTCATCTATATATACTGCAATAAAATTTTCAGTGCCCTTAAAGCAGTTATCCATTTTTCTTTGAAACACTGCGGGGGCATTCTTAAGTCCGAATGGCATTGCCAGCCATTCATATAATCCCTCAGGGACCCAGAACGCAGTCCATTCAATAGATTCCGGGTGCATAGCGACTTGGTGAAATCCAGATTTCAAATCAAATTTTGAATAAATTTTGCTGTTGCTAACCTTTTTAAGGATTGTGTTGATACCCGGAAGGCTATATTGGTCTTTCTCGGTGATATCATTGAGTCTTTTGTAGTTGAAGACCATTCTTTCTTTTCCTTTCTTTTCCACCCCAGATATTGGGTCCACCGTTGTTCCCGAATTGACAATTATTGCAGTTGTTCTGTGCTTACTCTTGCTGGGCCTGATGACCCCAATTTCAAGTAATGCCTTTACGTGCTTAGAAAATGCATCCTTCGCCTGTGGTGTTAGATGCCTCAAGGGTTTGTCTTCTACTATGAAATCCTGGTTCTTGATTTCCAATTTGCACATTATCTTGTTCTTCTTCCAGTGTCTGAGAGGATCTTCCCCGATATATCCCTGGGCCTTTAGCTGGTCTAGCAAGCTTCCGAATTTAGCCCTTATAGTTTCATAGCCCTGTTGGTCCTCAGCTGAATATAACACCGATTCCTGTATTTGTATGTAATCATCTTCGTCTAAATCCAGCTCTTCTATTGCTGAGGCTGCTGAGATGTAAGGTAGAGTGTTAATAGTCGTCAGATTCTTATAGAATGTAACAGTGTTACCTTCTATCCTTACTCCTCCCTGCATGGCTCTGATAAAATTGCAGCCTATTATCATCTGGATATCATCTCCGAGTTTCATATGAAACGCATAAGTGTACGGGATCCTGAAACTATTGTTTCCAATGGTCATTTTTCCTCCCCTCAATTTTTTGTTGGCTGTAGTTTTGGATGTGATCCCACTAAAGTGCACTACATAGGGATTTTCTTCTAGCGCCAACTTTGGTACTGCCTCCTCATCTATGCAACAGGTTGTGGCTCCTGTGTCCAGTATTGCATTTATTTCAAAAGGAGGAATATTTAAAATTTCCATTTGTACCTTGAGGTTGAAGAGCATGTTTTTGGATTTTCTTGATCCTCCCGTTTCCTCTGTCTCCATGGAGAGGATCTTTTGAGTTTCATCTTCCAAGAGGACAAAAGCCTCTTCATCTTCTTCACTTTCTTCAGTTTTTCTCTTTCCGAGCTTTTGTATTTCTCTTAGTAGATCTACCTTTTCCAGTCGTAGTTGATCTACCTCTAGTGTTTCTCTTTCCAATTTTTCATATTTTTCTCGGAGTTCCAAAAGCTCCTTCTTTAGCTGAAGATTTTCTTGTGCAGTTGCTATTGCTTGAACATTTATTTCCTCAAGCTCCTTAGACTTTTGTCGTTCAAACTCAACTGTCAGCTTGAGTCTTCTTATTTCTGCTTCACAATGATTAATAAAATCTTGCTGGGTTTGAAGCAGGTTCTTAGGTTCGTACCTTGGTGGTTCTTCCATCATGACAGGCGTTCTCTTGTCAAAATAGTAGATGCTGCACATTCCGCATGACGTGATTTTACATAAGGGGCAATGTCTCCTATGCCTCCTCTGGGATTTTCTCTTGCAGCATTTGCATTCCTCTAGTGCTGGTGGTAGTTCAGTATTAATTTCCCATACATGCCTGCATCCTGCTTGCTCCTGGGAAACTTGTACTCGTGCCCTGTAGCCTGTATCTGGTCCAATCCACCATGTTCTACTATCTTCTATTAATGCAAAGATTTTGTGGGTAAAGGAGTGAATACCATGTTGTAGATCCTCAATGTCTTCACCTTCTGATATTGAATATATAGCATCGCTTTGATTCTCCCCTTCTTGAACAGATAGAATTTCATAGTCTTCCGGGATGTCCAGCTGTTCAAACATTGCTACTCTCTTGATATTCTTCCTGTCATTAGGGCATTCCCTTGCAAAGTGTCCTTCTTCGCCGCAAAGGTAGCATTTGCACTTCTTGTTTCTCACTAAATGCTTCCTTTTCTCAATTCTTGCATGGGAAGAATGGGGCTTTCCTTTGTACGTGGTTGATCTTCTTACCCCGTATTTCTTTTCTGGTTTATTATAATATCCCGGGATAGGGATTTCACTACAGAAAGATAGGTCCTTTAGTGCTCGTCTGAAGGCGGCATCTTTGCATTCTGCCTCCAGATATTTGTAGGAAAATAAAATCCTTGGGATTACTCCTATAGTGTTCCCTCTATACTTGGCTTCAAATGCCCCTTTAATTCTTTTTCCCAATTCTCCTGGCATCTTGGACCATAATTTTTCAGATAATTCAGGTCCTAAAAACATTCTTCCTGTTTTGGATGCCAATCGCATATAATCATTTAAGAACTGAATGATATACTTAAGGTTAGTGCATGATAACCTTTCAAGATCACGGTAGGCCTCCTCCTGAGCCGTGGTAGATCCCTGGAATGGATCTTCTAATATAAAAATTGTTCTTAATTGGGAAAGAATATTTTGTGTACCTCCCGTTCCATCCGCATTGGCTATGA